TATTATATTATATTATATATCTTGGTGATACATAGAACACCGGATAATTTACTAATGAGTTCCGTTGTACCAAACCAATATGAGTGGTGAATTAACAATCTGATCCCCTTCGTTTTCCAGGCCTCCATGCACTGCTACGCCGAAATTCGGAGCCCCTTCTGGATCAAGGCTCGAACAGTTCAAGACTGGCCAGTCTCAATGAGTCTATCTACATGTCACGTGCATTCATGCCATCCAACTTTGCCCAGCCCGTGGGGAACACTACCAATAGCGGCTTCTGTCAAGGTGTGGCACGCAAAAGCATCCCGCAAAGTCCTCTCGCTAAGATGGTAACGAGGTCGATAACTCCATTCTGGGAACTGACCTCCGGTACGGACAATCGGGTCAATGGATGTGTCGAACAGCCGGGCATGACCGAATCTACCATATGGAAACCCGTCAATCCCAACTCGTCAAACACAGTTTACCACATGGGTCCTCAGGTGTTTTCAAACCGGCTCCCTCTTCATTCCCCACCAGAGGAATCCAGGTATCCTTGCGAAAAACTTACAAATGCTGCTTCTTATCTGGGCGTCTCTCCACCTCCAAGACAGGCGGGATTTCACCTTCGGGGTGATTCTTTGCCGGTCTACGCAGAACAACTCAGCCCTCGAATGTCCACATCCGGAAAATGGCCCGCTTTTCACCCCGTTTTGGAACATCAGCCCTACCAGGAGTTGGCCAACCTGACTGCAACACTTAGGCGGCACAACTATCCTACGAGGTCCAACACTTGGATACCACAAGACAAGGTGTTCAGCAACACTTTACGTTCCAATTCGAACGCGTATGGTCCACTCCATCCATCAAACTATGTCCTGACGCCACGATTCCACTACGCTAACGCTCAACTGAACAGTACCCTCGGGAGGCCAACGTCTCCTTCTGCACATCCCTCCAACCCAGTGCGATTCTACCGGCCTCCTAGTGTTTTATCTAGGCGCGATAACGGTTGCGAAGCGGAAGAGCTGAACGAAAACGAAGATCTGAAACTATCGTCCAGAGATCTTGACTACCAGATGCCCGATAAAGGTGACGACTGTATAAGTCCAACGGATATTACCAAACGAAAACGCGCTCGTGTGCTGCTGGCCGACTTTGTTGAATGTGATCAGGTGGTTGGAACGATCGATAACGATGCTGAACAGCAAGAACAACATGACCTTGAAAATCCCACATTTGTCGAGTCTGTTGACAGTCCCTCCCATAAGGTCAACAGTCCAAGCTACTCTCGCGCCAAATATGTGTACGATGCGTACAGAGAAGCCAGTTTTGTTTGAAAGTAGGTGAAAATGAGTCAACACATTGTTGATTCCATCCCTCGCTGTTAGGCCACTGCCGTTGATCAGCTGACTCGACTACTATAAATAGAAACGAAACAAAACGTTCAAACGCTACCTCATTCACGTGATTACTGTTGCTATCTTCGCACTTTTAACGTCAAAAGTCTATATAAAAGTTATATTTCACATAATTTTCTGTTGAAACAGAGTGGATGGAAGTTCTCAAATTACTGAGTTCCACTCATCACAGTGTTTGTGGAGTGTGGGAATCGGGTTTTTCAGATGTCAGCCTATCTTACCTTATTCCTCAGTGTAGTCTGAAGCCGCTTCACTCGCGTTCCTCCAAAGTACATATGGAATCAGCTTCAACCTACCATTGAAAAAAAACACCTGGTCCCAATCATCTCGAGGTTGCCCGATACACCCGGCTAAAATTAGACACTGAAACGAAATGCTGCATGCGGGAATGGACTACAGCACCCCCTACAGCATCTACCTCTCTAGGGCGACCAGTCTCGACGACTGTAAAGATACAGCACTATGATGCAGAACTGGAGGGTGCACGCTTTCAAATCGGTTTGCAGGTTACCTTACAGTCCTGTTGCTCAGACGCTCGTCACTATGGGTTCTGTGTATGTTTTCAAGATATTCGAAATTCCAGGGTTGATAACTACTCCCCTACAAGGTAGTACCCAGTTCCATCATGTCGTTCCCTTCCTTGTGGTCATTCTCTATCTCCTCATATCGACTGGTACAACAAATCAAGCCCCGCAAAGACATGAGACGTTTTGTCCAAAGACGCTGGTCGTTGAATCAGCAGTTACACGAAAAACAGGCAAGGAAGACAGATGGACTGGCAAGCCGTAGCAGTCGAAACAATGCCTCTGTTTCAAACCAGATGGTTTCCCATTGAAAGTTGGGAAAGTACGTGTCATCCGGGTGGAACGTCGTCACTCTAGAATTTTGTTTTGGAACCAACTCCATACCTTTTCGTTTCAGAGGAGATTGGTAAATAATCGATTTTTTAACAAGTCCTACTGAAACGATAGCTTCTCAATCGATTTCAAACGTTTTCCGATTGACTGTACTCATTTCTGGAAATCACGTCAGGCTATCCTAGGATTATTCAGTGTTGCCTCTTAATTCAGATTCATTACCGTCTTCCGATTTGAAATTAAGGTATCCTGAAAAGTTTATCGATCGCACACAACGCTGTGCACCTTCTTTTTTCGGAATCAGAGAGGTCCGATTAGTGCACAGCGTGAGTGTAATTACGCATATGCGTATCTTCCACTTACATATGTGGTACTCTTCACTTTTAGACTAGTCGGTGTGTGTCGCAAGTTAGCCGAAGGCAAGATCTTACTGCCTATTCAACGTCAGTGACCACCTCTCCGATCAGCTGGTTCTCAAACATGTGACCGAAGTCGAGCTTTGCAGGAAGTGCTTCAGTGCAGTTCGGCCGTAGCTCCTTTTCGGTGCCTAGCTGCCATGCCACTCGAAGGAAGCACGAGGGCTGGGATACTGCCAGGTTGCCCGAGCCTAGACAGAGGAAGTCGAGAGGTAGAGGTCGGATTCGAACCATGGACCTTCCGGTCAGTAAATTCGCGCTCTAATTAGTGAGCTATCTCGCCAGGAGATAACGCACCCTGTTTTGGGACTCCAGTCGTATGTTCTTGGACATTTCATTTGCACTAGATGTTCGAAGCTTTGGGGGAAAACTATAGAGACAGAAGATAGTGGACATCTGGTGAATTTTGTTCTTGTTTGCATCGTTTAAGTGTCCGACCGATATCGGTGTTACAGTATCCTTGCTATGGGATAACCGATGGACTGTGTGTAGTGTGCCAGAACAACCCTCAGCCGACCTTTCTGCGCCAAAGCCGCCTCATGACACAGTACTCATGAGCAACGTTTTTTGGCATAGCTCACTACTCACAAGGTTTTCGAAAGCTCTTCGAGGGCTCGCGGCTTACGTCTTCAATCTTTGGTGTTACTAAGAACACATTTATTTGAAGGACATCGTACACGAGTCATTCGGTTGGAATTCAGCAGCTTCGTTTTCGACCGAGTGTATCACTTCATTTAAGGCTGTTAAAAACTCGGAGATCAAGACACTAAGGAGATGAATCCGCTCGTGGGCTGTCGATGAGTTTGGAGGAAGAGTGAAAAAACGACGTTTTTTTGTACACAAAAATCAGTGGTGTCCGTTATTTGTGTGTTCCAGAACGTGACTGTAACGTTCAAGAAAATACAAGAAAACCTTAACTTTTCTCCTCAGCGTACACGAGCTCGACCTCAGTTATTGGCAACCTAAATAAACTTGAGGACTGCTCAGGGCCGGTCGACAAACAATATACCATATGCCTTCGAGTAAGGGTCATCTCACTGCCTTATCAGTTTTTCCACGAAAATATTCTTACTATTCTGTTAGTGGATTTCCGGTACTTTTGGCGGCCTCATTCACAGGATGGATACCGACTTGCAGCATAGACGGTTTCTCACTTCTCAACGTATGACTGGATGAGCCTCGGTTCCGCGACAGAGCCGTGCTAATAACAAGAACGATGCTACCAACGTGGTTGGCAACTTTGGGGGTGGCGGTGTTCGTGAATCCACTGGTCCGCTTGTGAACTTTGTTGCGCCGTGGTCTGCGTTCGTGTGCGGTGATTGGTCATCTCAACGCCTTCTATTTTTAGTAGTTTTTTCTCTGGCCTCGATCGGCATTGCGTTGTGGTCTGACCTTCTCCGGCTTGATTGTTTGGCTGCACCGCCTATTTTCTCCATTGTAACAGCTAGTGTCCCTGCGTTCGCTAGTTAATTTGGTACTTTGGTTTATTGGTTGGGCGCCTTCTCCAATCAAACTGATGTGTCCGTTTTAATGAGGCTTTCCTGCTTCTCTTATGGGTTCCTCGCCTGGTTACCTTTTCAGCTCAAAGCTCTGTGGTTCCGGCGTTCTCTCGCTCTTAGTGGTTGGTAAATGGGATCAATTTGGATAAGTTTGTTGATGGCTTCTTCAGTGGTGTAGCACGCCCCCATGAATTCGCGTTCTTCCTTAGTTCTTGCTTGAACCAGTATGCGAACGCCGCGGTCGTGTCTTTCAGTAGCGAGTCTGTGTTCGTGTATTCTGGTGGAGAGCTTCCTTCCCGTTTGACCTTGCATCGAATGCTGTACATGACATTGTTCCTCGTCACATTGCCAATAAGTAAGTGACCACCGTCCAGGTATGAAAAATGCAACGGAACTAATCAGCAAAGCACGAAAGGTGTCGATCCAAAAGATTTGCGCATGGTCATCCAGCGAACTACTGCTCTGTTTCTGGGTGTCCGTTCTAAAAGAAAGGTGAACGGAATCCTGGATGTCGTTCGAAGAGATGGACAAAGGGATTAGGATTATTCGAGTTTGCTGAAAAAATCATCAGCACTAAAGATCGTGCGAAATATCTGCATTTCATCAATCAAATTTTAGCTGGGTCGCCCGATGGCGGGTACAGGTGGGTTAGGATGCGGGCGAGTACTGCATTCTCAGCATCCGAAAAATGCACCAATTAGCCGACCAAAGGGGAGGCAGTCAATTACCTGTTAACGAGACTGGCGAAAAGATTCATCAAACAAAAACACCTGCTCGACACATTTTCGTAGTGCACCTGTGAACGACGCGCATCTGGATACACAGATGGCTGAAATTCTCCTGCGCATGTGGCAACTGCTCCGGCAGCATAGGCGTCTCCTAACCGGTTCGATTCAGGTTACTACCGAATTTGGGATACCAGATAGTAAGGATTGGGTTTTACTTCAAAAAAAAAGTTCACGAATGTTCTTCACAAATGCAATCGCTATGCCGGCGGCAAGTGGTATTTCTCACGAAACGAATCAAAATCTATCTGTCGAATGGATCTTCCATTTGGAAAGTGACTGGTCGACGGACCAATCGGTATCAGGTCACGTGACGTGAACTGCGTGATTAGAGGATGAGTGGCGCTATCACCAGACCAAAGCTAAACACTGAACCGATTCAGCTTGAAGGATGGAACAAATTTTCGGCCGTGAGGAGTCGGATGACGATAGGCTTTGGAAACCGCAAGGATACGTAATTTGTCCACTGTGATATGGCTTTGTGGCACTTGCTACACGCATCAAGAAAGGCCGTGCCTCGATTAGCAACTTCTTCTCGGCAGAGTTGGTGTACTGAAATGGAACTCTGAATTTTGTTTCCGACTTTTGGGCTCAGCACATTCAGTTGCTACGAAACATCATAAACGAGAGATTCAGTTGGGTTCCAGGTGAGTGTGCAAATGAGTGTAGTTCGTTAATTTCGTACAATTTGGTTTCAAGTAGAATATAAGGTTGACAGAAACTCCGGGATTGCACCTACCTGATGAGCCCCAAGAAGAGTGAAACCGGTCATGGACTGTCAAAGAATTTTCAGCAACCTTCTGAGTAGTGTATTACACTTATAGATGAGGAGAATTAGCGATAACCAGCACCGATGGATCTTATAGTCTACGTCCTTGAAAGGAAGCTGTGAGAAATGTTTTTTGGGCTTGACTGTTTCTCTTGGCTTTTTTTCGCTTCTATTATGAAGCTTAAATCCCAACCGAAATTCCTGCTTGCTCAGGTGCGCATTGCCGACAACAGAGTGAAGCGGTCGTGCAAAGTTTCTCGTTTTTTCACCAAGGTCGAATTGACTTGCGAAACCAAAGCGCACCAGAAACCCGGGCGCTTCGCTGACAACAGCATCGGTCAAGAACACTGGCATCTCACTGCCGTATAATGATGTTAAATTTCTTAATAAGTCCTTATTATGGAAAGAAGAAAAACGGGGCAGCGAGGGGGACCCGGGGCTAGCCTACAACAAACACCCGAGATGCTCGCACTCCCAACATTCAGTCAGACAATCTGGATAGGAAATGACAGCACCAACACCAATGATCAGGTTGGCCACCCTATCGTTCATTGTCTCCAGCCAAGCACGGGGTGGGTCCCACGGAACCAACCCTGGAAGGCTACAGCACCCGAAATTTTTGGTAACATGATTTTTCCCCTCTGTTATGCGTACATAAACCAGATCCCGCCTCGACCGATGGCATCTCGGCACGCGTAACCATGGTCCAATCACCTCATCTCACCATGCTGTATGATTCTTTACGTGAAGTGCTTTCTGCTTCCTGTTTCCAGCCGATCCTATCTGCAGTTCTGGAAAAACGGTGGTCAAAGACTTGTAGATACCTCAGGCCCTCTGTTCGTCTGGCAGCCGTCCATCAATACACCAGTCTGGTACACCACACGCCTTTTGGGACTCAGCGAAATGCCTTTTTGATGCCACGAGTGGTGGCATCAATGCTGGCCTTTGAGATTCGTGGGTTCACTTCATCTGTCACAGTACTGTCAGAGCTATTGCAAATTCTGAGACATATACAGCAGTATATTACTCTTCGGAATCTGTGGGGCATGACTTTGCACTTCGTGGGTGTGAAGCACATATCGAAGGACTGGATAACGTCTTGAATCCAGCTGAGTTCCCGTTTGCCAACAAGTGTGCAATGACTCTGAATAGTTTCCGACGCCCAAAGACAGGCTTTTTCTTCTTGGGGCTTGGTAATCAACTTTCTATCAATCTGGTGGTCAACTTCAACTCAGATTGTACAACGCACTTGGCGAATTACGCTCAGTTGCACACCAATTTGACCTTGGTGGGAAACTGAGTTGAATTTCAGCTGAATAGGTTGTTCAGGCTATTTCTCAGCTCAGCGCGCTACACAAACGCTGTGTACACAATTTGAGGTGTCGCAGTAAATGTGCTTGGCAGAACATACTACTTCTAAGTCTGCTGAAAAACTTTCGATACCAAATGGGTGTATTTTACCAACTGCCCACACAGTGGAGGAAACTTGGGAAAGGGCGAAACCGGTATGGAGCTGTCGAGTTATGCTCCACCAATAAAGGAAATGAGTAGTTTTCTGTTCAACACCCATTGCTCGCTCATGAATCGGTCTCTTGACAGCACAGTGGGACAAAAGTGCGTGGCTTAATCTTTTTCACCGACGAAATGGCTTGTACTCATATTGTCAGGTAGCCAAATGAAGCAACTAACGTCGTGTTTAGTTTAGAAATAGTTCAATCCAGCTAGGGGAAACGCATGAAACCCTTAATAACATGAGTTCCATGCGAATGTCATTGGTTTGGATGGGAGAAGTAATTCCGTATGGGGCGCACAATTAGCTTAAGAAATGGGCGAACTGACCATAGTGGATAGCACCCAAGAACCGAATACGCACATTTGGACATTAAATCAATTTGAGTTGTTTATAACTGTCATAAACAGGCAGCAAAAAGCTATGGTTCATCAAGGCAGCAGCCTTTCAAGCAATAATCATTGTGTGGCATGCGTATGCATTAGGGGCGAGATGGCCCAAGTGGTTAGAGCGCATATTTATTGGCCAAGAAGTTCGTGGTTCGAACCCGACCTCTACCTCTCGACTTCCCCTGTCTGGGTTTGGGAAACCTGGCAGTATCCCAGCCCTCGTGCTTTCTTCTGGTAGCATGGTGCTATAGCTGAACGATGCATAATTCCTCAAAGTGTGAGTTAGGGATGAAACGGTTGAATTAAGTCGTTTTGAAGCTCGCTGAGCAGACAGCAAAAGGAGTTCATGCAATTGTGTTTTGTTTTGTTTCAATAAAACCAGCTCAATAACTTGTGAATCCGTTCTTTGGGGAGCACTTTCATCACCTATTGCTGAAACTGTGAAATCCAAATACAGCTGTTGTCCAAAACTTGAGTCATCTAAGATTTCTGCAGTTTCTGGCGAATTCTACTGAGACTCGCCAAGGTCAGCTGACGGCATGCCGTGCCACTGCGTGTTTTTCACGAAAGGCTGACAGATAAAAGGCTTCTAGATCGCAAGGGTGTTTGGAAAAGACTCATATAATCATTTTTAGAGCGATACAGACTCCTAATTAAAACATCACACAAGCACCCGTGATCAGACGAACCGTTCAGCAGCACACGTTGAAATGCGAGCCGCAGATTCTATAACCATACACTACTCGTTTGATTTTGGTAGTCGGGAGTGAGGTGACCCTAAAATAGTCAGCACACCGTTCGAACGAGAGTACGTGAAACATCCACCCGGAGAAAGCGAACCATCACTTGTAAAATTGGGATAATGAATAGTCTACTGTGTAAAACTATACAAATCAAGTCCCTGAGTAAAGTTTCCATGTACATTCTGGAACTTGAGTGTCTTTTTCTCAAAGTTTACATCAAGTTGAATGTAGAGTTGATGGAAACTTACATTCCACGTGAACATCAGCAGCCAAGGATCTCACAGGATGACCACAGCTATCGGACTATACGCAGTTTGTTTTCAGTGGGAAGTAGGAACGGACGGACGAGGACAGTAGATGCTTAATTGTCAAGAAATGATTAATCGATAATAGCGCAGAAAATGGTCACTGAAGCAGCAGTTTTAGATACGGGCAGTCAGAGTGTAAATTGGTAGTATACGGAGATGAAGGCCAAGAAAACAATCCGTACATTCGGGAGGCAACGGGGACAGTCTTTGGATGATGGCGCGATACAGCAGCTCGTGTCACGTGCCAAATCGGAACGCGCGCATAGGTTCGTTTTAAACAAATCTCAGCAAAGGCTATCGGGCACTTGAGGTGTAAAGGTAGTACAAAAATAGGGACACCTTAGACACCACCCAGTTGGTGGAACGGATGACGCGCTCGCCTGATTTCGGTCCTCGACAGGTCCGTTCTTCCATCAGAGAACAGATATTCGAAAATAGGTAGAGCTGACACGAGCTTGAAAGTGAAGACGGACAGTCAACAAAATCTTGACATCAGTTACTAGGGTATATGCAGGAGCGAAAACCCGGGGAATAAGCAGCAAAGAGACGAAACGGCGTTGTGATTTACGGGCGTAAACCAAACTACTCAGGCTGATCACCGTTGATTCACAGGAAAAATCCACCATCACACCGTGCGTGACGTGGTACAATAGCTATTTCGCTGGTTGTGTCGTTATACGGATATGTTTCATTGTAGTGAAATCTTGACGACTGACTAAGCTTTTTTAAGGAATACTCGAAAGCTTCCAGACACTTTATGTTTCAGGTGTTGGTGGTAGCGGGATTTTGAACAATACACTTTCACATGACTGTCGTTTGAACGATCATCCTCCATCCCCCGTGCAATCATCATGGTGAGTCCATACCAAAGTTGCGGGGGGGGGGGCGCTGAACACGAGTTTCCCTAGTTGGGGGGGGGGGGGGAGCGCTGAACACGAGTTTCCCTCATCAGCGGTGCATATCCAATACACCGTGCCGGGATTAGACGATATTCATCTACCAGCCGAAAAGTTGTCGCGAAACATTGGATAATACTTTGACTTGAAAATGATGAACTAAGTAGTATGGTGTTTCGTTTCGAATGCACACTGTCCCACCTCCGCGATGAAACTGAGCTTACTGGGGGAAAACAAAGCAGGTGTTACGCTAAACGACACCAATTGCTAGCGGCGTGTGGATACCGTTTGTGTCTCTGAGGTGTGGAAAAATATATGTTAGTTGGGGGGGGGGGGGGAGCGCTGAACACGAGTTTCCCTCATCAGCGGTGCATATCCAATACACCGTGCCGGGATTAGACGATATTCATCTACCAGCCGAAAAGTTGTCGCGAAACATTGGATAATACTTTGACTTGAAAATGATGAACTAAGTAGTATGGTGTTTCGTTTCGAATGCACACTGTCCCACCTCCGCGATGAAACTGAGCTTACTGGGGGAAAACAGAGCAAGTGTTACGCTAAACGACACCAGTTGCTAGCGGCGTGTGGATACCGTTTGTGTCTTTGAGGTGCGGAAAAATATCCGTTCCAGCCTGATTAATTAAGGCCAATTCCTCCTTCCTCACAAATTAAGAGGAGCATTTGGGATTCTTCGAAGTCAGAATGCTGTACGATCGATTACGATTCACACAAGAACTGAGATTTCAAAGACTGCACCACTCTTAGTTGACCGATGGTTAATCACACGAGGCAAAATGCGCACCTGTAGGTTTACCCAAATGGACAGTCAGTGCAAATTGAACACAATACCATACGGAAACGGTAGAATACTTTCTCCTAGTGTTGAAATTCCTCATAGAATGGGAACAACAATTTTGGGGAACTGAGACCGTGTCAGATCAGCTGCAGAGCACATTTAGACAGGAGCCAAAGCCACGTCACGTGTTGACTAGCCTCTCTAGAGACAACTGCTCAAACCAGTCGTTTTTTGGACATTGCCCGGCTTGTTGTACTTACGTGACTCGGAAGTTGATTGTCGATTACCAACGACTAGTTCGGTTGGTCCCGTGATCGAAGGCAATCGCAAATCGCAGCACCACCGGTACTAAAAGGAAGTTGGCTACGAGTAGAGACCTTGACGAGGGCTCTCTGAAGATCGGGACTACACAAGATCACATGGTGATCTACGCAGGTATCCTACAGTTGGCTTTGGTGTGACAGTCACGTCCCGTTTACACCAGAAGACAAAACTCAGTTGAAGACCGATCAGTGTTTGTTTAGGTATTCACATGTTTGTACATTTATCACGTACAGAAAAATAAGTTCTGTCGAGTTTCAGAAATTTTCCACAAATTGCTGTTTTTCAGCTTACCTCATAATTGTGAGGTGAGAGTCTGTTCACGAATTTGTGCGTCTTCGCTCAAGTGACCACAGTTGAGAGTCGCTGAACTAATTAAATGATTACAAATCGTTGCTGAAGGTTGTCAGGCGTGGTTGGAAACAAAGACTGATGCGAGTATACCTGAGAAGTTTGTTCGTACAAGAGGATCAGGAGGAAAACATCAAGCACATCAGAAGAACATGGGATATTTCGCAAAACGTAAAAGTTTTTCATGGAATATCGACAATTCAAACGGAACTCATTGAGACTGGAAAACATTTTGGATTCGCTTGGGGTAAAAAAACTCCAATTGAGTGACACATCGCCCTGAAGTAACACACAAGGTGGGGCAACCCAAATATCGTTTCTTGTGACGGGTTACGTGATCCAATCGAGGTCTCATTTTGCTTCGGTCATGTGAAAACAACGAGTCGGCTGAACAGAGATCTGGTAGACAATAGATAAAAAAGTACATCGATTGAAATGGACAGAACACAGGAGATTAAAAAAGACGGAGAAACTTGGTTCCAGCGGTCGCTAAGCGTGGTTGGACGGTGTTGTACAAACAACCGCACAAGGCTCCACCCGAGTGATCAGAGAGTCGAATGCCTCCCAAAGACCTGTGTTTTGAATGCACATGGTACCACCTCCACGACGCATTTGGGAATACTACGGTGGGGAAAAGAGAAAAAAGTGGGATTGGTCGTTAGATCACTCCGATAAGCGAGACTCTGACGGCGGCAGGGGAAGGGAACAAACACATTTTCCGGTGGCATAGGAGTTACGACCACAGTTTGGAATGATGGATGCAGTCCTCAAACGAGATCTACACGCTACACAACAAAACGTCGTCTCATCGTGAGGCTCGAATACGCCTCCGTTCAACTGACCAAAGGAGTTGCCTGTTAAGGCAAAACCTGAAAGTACATTCAGCCACGGTTGACCTCAACGTCCTGCGCCCGTGAGGTTCCATCCATCCCCTGCTATTCACCATGCCTCGCAAACCGTTCTATCCATACTAGGTCGGAGCCATCATCATCATCGACAGCAATCTGCCGGTTGCAGATATTGATGTTTAAAGAACACGAGGAAAGAGCGAAGGAATTCAAAGGAAACCCCACGGAGAAGAAGAGAAAAGCGTATCTGAGCATTCCTGTGCATCAAGACGCTATCAAGGGTCACCAATACAATGTCAATGACAGACAAACTTCAGTCTTGCCAGAAGGTAGCAAGCAGCATGGCCGCTACTGGGATGGGTGAGGTGCTATTGCTTGTGGGGTTTCTGACCACGGACAAATAGAAACACGTGGACCCCAAGCAAAAGTGCGCCAAAAAACTCCAAAGCACCCAGTGTGACCGTAATTGCTGTCGTTTCGCGCAACTGTCATGACCATGTATTTTTCGACACCGATAGGATGTCCCAATGGTATTATTATCGTGGAATAAGAGTCTCGCTTTCTGGCATCGTTGGCAAGCTCGTTTCAATATGACCGTCTTACATAGACCAATTGACGGCAGCATAAGACTTAAAACTGTCCTTTCAAATAGCAGTGTAGATTTGAGTGAAGTGCGTTACCCTAGAGAAACAAGCCCCCTAGGTTTCCTCTGGTTACCGGCCCCACAGTCATTGCTGTTTTCTGCCGTACAGTCAAATGAGACAGATGAATTTATTGAGCGATTTTCCCGGCTTTCCAGTATACCAGAAATGGACGGTTCCGACTTATTGACACAGAAAAAGTTCATCGCCATTCACCTGGCGATTGAATTGGCAAGAGACTACTATCGCTAACTTGGGTGCTGCTGAGGACAGTACAAACTATGAAAAGAGGAGACTGGGATCAGGATGCCTCCTTAAGCACATGGATTGTGGAGTATGTTGACTATTATGGCTTCCGGGGAGTGTGGAGACTCCGACCCAATAAAAAAACCGAGATTCAGGAGACTGCTTTAGGAGTATATCAGACCGAAGAGGTGCCCGAGTGTGAAGCTGTAGTTTACTCAACCAAGTTCGACTACTATCGAATTTGGTAGTAGTGTAGAAATGCAAAAAATCTGGGCAACACAGCGTAGTCAGCTGACAGCGTGCAAAGTGGACCGGAGTTCTGCGCGCATCAATGCTTACCGCTACTGTTAAAAAAGGATGGTTGGAGTCGGTGCGACAAAAAATCAGAAAACATTGCAACAGAAATCACTCACTTGCCGATTGATGTCACCCAGACAAAGCCACATTTCAGTGGATTTTGTCAATCGAGTGGGTTGCAACGTTACGGCCCACTTTGAATGGTCGTAATAGGTGGAGAAATTCAGGTTCAGTTCTCGAAATATCAAGTGTTGCACGTTGAAAACCTGACACCGGATTAGAAAGCAAATGTTAACAGCTGAGTGAGAACTAGATAGTCACTTGCAAACCGAGATTGTAATAAAAGTAGCTTTAGTTGAAACTAAATAGGATTTACCGTTTATGACATTCCTCAACTGAGTGCGCTGCATGAAGACCGTCCAACTTTTCAGTTACCCGAGTAGTCCAAATACTGAAGCAACCTTTAATGATAGTACAGTATGCATGTGGTTCAAGGAAGGTTTCGAAATGACCACTAACGCTTTGATGACTTATCAGATGGGCATGGTCCTTAAAATTTTGTCAGCCTTGACAGTAATTGACATCCAGGCGAAGCTAACCATTCATTCACAAATTATGCTCGTGGTAAGAAGACAGTATATTGAAGCTTGCCTCAATCATTCGTTTGCTTTACTTGGTGGAATAAGACTAAGGAAAGTCTGGTTCGTGGTGCCCATGTAATGGGCCCAGAGAGGGTAAAATCCCGAGGTGGGCCTTCGGAAAGGATTCAAACTCACATCAGGAAAATAACATACATTTCATGGGAAGGAAATGGGAAGATCCATCCGCTCTCCTACTAAGCTGAGTTGTCCTCCTCAAATAGCCGATCCATGTGAACACAGGCTGATTTCCTTATAGCCGAACTTTTCCACAGGGAAACCTCATAAAGCAGTTACAAAGAGCTGATAGTACAGAAATCTTTACTTCGGGGGACCACGATGTTTTTTGGAGGAAACACTGCTAATCGGTGTTCTATTTTACAGTGGTTTTTGCAGACCAGGAGCATTTTAGGCAGCAGCTCAGAGCATCATCATCATCA